ATATAGGTTTCAGGTGGGTTTCTATGTTACAAGATCTATATGTATACGTGTGCCCACCACCCAAAGTCAGATCTTTTCCTGTCACCTTCTATTAGGACCCCCCTCCCTCTGGCACCCCCCACACTGCTGTTTGTGTGCACAAGTTTCAGTTCATGTCCCACCTAGAGATTTCATCAGTCCTAAGATGCACATTCTCTCCATGTAACATCTCTGAGCCGGCTGTGCACTGTCCACCAGGTGCAGCTGTGTGTGGCTGTCACTGCCCTCACATGTGCATTAAAGCTGGCAGGAAGGGGGCAGTGACCTGGCAGGAAACCCCGGACAGCCATGGACACATTTAAGAAGCATAGCTCCCCCGTTAGCAGAGAGGACGATTCCGCAGGAAAACAGGAAAAGGGTGGCTTTGATAAAAAATGATTCCGGAGAGCCCTGGCCGGTGTGCTCAGTGGTTAGAGCGTCTGTCCATGCACTGAAGGGTTTCAGGTTTGATTCCCAGTCAAGGGCATCTACATGGGTTGCAGGTTCCATCCCTGGCCCAGTTGGGGCATTCAAGGGAGGCAACCAATCAATGTGTCTTTCACACTGATGTCTCTTTTTCTCTCTCTCTCTCTCCCTCCCTCTCTCCCTTCCTCTCTCTCTGAAAATCAATGGCAAAAAATGTCCTCCGGTGAGGATTAACAACAACAACAACAAAATGATTCTCTTTCCCCTATTTTCTCTTTCATGTATATACAAGAATGCTATATGATCAAACTTGTATCTAAATCTCAAAGAGCTCTTTTAATCAGAAATGAAAATGCCAGTGGCAAGGAAGCACAGTCCTGGTTTGATTGGCAGGTTTTTTTATTTCTTTCTCAGTGACACATAAAACAATGCTGCAGTCTTACCACTCAAAGCATCTTGGATAAGATGTGATAGAGAGGCGGTCAGAGATGTTGCAAGACGCCGCAGGGAGAAGGGAGGTGGGGTCTAAGAGAGGAGTGGGTTTGAAGAGGGGTGAGGGGTGTCCGCGGCTTCAGGAGGGACCAGGTCAGGGAGGACCGAGGGCAAGGGGTGGCCTTTGGCATCTGGGAGGTCACCTTTGTATTCTAGGGTTCTGTGGGTATGGTTTTGGCTTTCAATTCGTTTGCTTTGATCAACAGGTGCCGGGCACTGTACTTGGGATACAAACAGGAAAGACCTAGTGACCTCTATCTCCAATGAGCACACAGTTCAGAAGGGAGGGCAAGCAAAACCCTGACTGTGAGGCACTAACTAGTTAGTTGTTTGAGGTGTGTTTTGGGGGTGGTGGGGTGGGGGTGGGTGATGGATGAGGCCGTAGGGGCAGGTGAGCTTACCTGGGAAGAGTAAGGTGTGAGGCCTGAGGCTGCAAGGATGGAGAAGAGTTTGCCAGGAGGAGTTCCAGGTAGAGGGAGGGAGAGGGCTGGGAGGCTCCATGTGGTTTCCTGGAGCCTCCAAACTGGGAGCCTATGAAGGGGGAGATCAGGGTGGACGGTCAGAGGTGGCCAGTTCACAAAGGGCCTGCTAGGCTCTGCCCTGGGGGTTCGATGTCAGTCTTGACACAATGAGGAGCAGTGGGACATGCACACAAGTTTAAGAAGTAAATGGAAGTGTCAATTCGATAATGAAACATAACTGTCCCTGGCCCTAGCCATTCTCTTTCCCCCTCCATGATCCAGAGTTAGCCATTTAAACGTGATCTTTCGCCCGGCCGGCATGGCTCAGCTGGCTGAGCGTTGTCCCATGCACCAGGACCTCGCTGCTGAGTCTTGAGTCTTCAACATCTGAGGCTTTCTGAGTTTCTACAGGACAAAGGGCTTAGTTCTTTTTTTAAAAAACAAACAAACAAACATTTTTATAGATTTCAGAGAGGAAGGGAGAGGGAGAGAGAGATAGAAACATCAATGTTGAGAGAGAATCATTGATCGGCTGCCTCCTGCACTCCCTGCATTGGGGGATCGAGCCCTCAACCTGGGCATGTGCCCTGACTGGGAATTGAACCATGACCTCCCAGCTCATAGGTTGATGCTCAACCACAGAGCCACGCCGACTGGGCCTTAGTTCTTATCTAGATCCCCCTCCTTAGCGCCTTTGGTTGGTCTCTTCGTCCTCCATTCTTCTGTGACAGTTCTCACTCAGGTTCTGCCCTGTAAGTGGGCTTTGGGGGAGGCCCGCAGACAGTTTCAGTGAGCCATGGAGAACCAGAGGTCCCTTGATGGATCCTGCACAGGGAAAGTTATTAATGTGCCCTGGTAGGCAGGTGGAAAGGGAGATGGAGACGGAAGAAGCTAGCACATGAGGAGGTGAGGCAAGAAATGCTGAGCATTGAAACTAGCCAAGGTAGAGGGGAGGGAAGGAGGGAATATCAGGGGAGGGGGATAAAAAGGCTCTAGAAATAGCCAGGATGCTGTTCAGTGTCTGACCTGGGTGATGGGGTGGCCAGTGGCCCCTTTGCTAAGACAAGGAGCAGAGCAAGAGGAACTTTAGATGAGGATGGGTGCAGTGTGAGGAGCCCAGGGGATTTAAAGATGGAAATAGCAGCAGGTAGATGGTAGGGGTGTGAAGCAGAGGCAGGGAGACTGGCTGCCCATCCTCACCAGCTCCCGGATAGGCGAAGCCGTGGCAGGAATGAGATCATGCGGCCCCTGGGGAAGAGGGAGGGGAGAGAGGAGAGCTGAGGACAGTGGACCACACAGCAGGGAAGAGAAAGTCTCTGGCCTCCAGGAGGGAGATGGAGAAGGGAGTGGAACCAAGGCCTGCCAGCACAGCCTGCTCATGCCTGCAGCTTAAAGTGTGGCCATTCAGGCTCTGGGGTTAGGCCCTCCCCAAGCCCGCAGTCCCTGACAGCCATTTACCTAAGCTCAACAGCTCCATCCCTGAGCCCCAGGAGAGGACCGCTGCTCCCTGCCCTTGTTCAAGGTCAGAAGCTGCTGGGGGATGGCCCTGGCATTCCTTCTCCTGAGGCTCAGGATCAAAGAGAGTTGATGGTGGCGATTTCCCCTCTGCCTCAAGGTCACAGAAATCCAGGTCAGGTTCTGGGCGTTCCTGCCTCCCTCCCACAGGCACACAGGGCATCAGCTCCGAAGTCTGGCTGTGGAGGCACAACTTCATGTTCTCAGGTGTCAGAATGGGTGGCTCGCTTCAGGTGACACCGGGAAAAGACTTACCCAGTCTCCTGGCTGTGTGCGCCCTGGCAGCCCTGCCTGGATGTAAAATAGCCTGGTAACCTTGAATGCGTGCTTGCCCATGTGCAAACGTCACGGAGCCCTTTACGTGCTTCTGGCAACGAATCTGCACAATTTTATGAGATGGGAACCTGTGCCCATTTAACAGATGAGGAAACTGGGGCCCAGAGAGGTTACGTGACTTGCCTGCCTGCAGTGGAGTCTGCATATGTAGTGGGCACACTTCCAAGTTAGAACCCTGAATTTTGTTTGTTTGTTTGTGTTTAATTTCTTTATTGTTGAAAGTATTACATAAGTTTCCTTTTATCCCCCACTGACCTCTCGCCGGTCACTCCTACCCCCAAGTACATGCCCCTGCTGTCTGTATCCATTAGTTATGCTTATATGTATGCATATAAGTCCGTTGGGAGAACCCTGAATTTATGCCATTGACCGTGACCCTGTCCTATGAGAGCCCACCCCAAACCTGAGCTTGGGGGGAGGGGGTGGCGATGATGATGATGATGTGCATGTGTGTGTGTGTGTGTGTGTGTGTGCGTGAGAGAGAGAGAGAGAGAGAGAGAGAGAGAGAGAGAGAGAAAGAGAGAGAAAGAAGGAGAGAGAGAGAGACCTCTCCCTGCTCCGGAGCTCTCCTAGACTGCCCTCAAGAGACCACAGGAATTCCGATGAATTAATCTCATCACTTTATCGAGGAGGCACTTACAGAAATTACAAGGCCACCAGCCTGGCTTCGCTGGCAGTCAGCCGCTGGGCCCATAAAACAAATTGAAAGGAACAAAAATAAATAAATAAAGTTAGGAATCTCTCTCTCTCTCTCTCTCTCTCTCTCTTTCTCTCTCTCTCTCTCTCTCTCTCTCTCTCTCTCTCTCTCTCTCTCTCTCACACACACACACACACACGCCTGGATCACTGAGTTCCAGGAACTGGTAACTGGGCAGAGCAGCGGGGTATTGAGGCTGGAGACAGGGGTGGGTGGGGGCCAGATTCTACTGAGCTTCTAAGCCTGGGTAGACTTGGGTAAATTAGTTTAAGTATAGGGTTTATCTTTTAAATTTTACCATCTTATCAAATATTGAAATTATTTCCCAAGAAGCCAGAGTGACCTAAGAAATGGATAAGGTTTAGGCAGGAGAGGAGGGGCACATGGAATCTTAATTCCTTCCCTTCCTGTCCTCTCCCATCCCCAGCACTGCCCCTTGCAGGAAATGGGATGGGAAGGTGTGTGTGTGGGGAGGGAGGGAGGGAAGGAGAGAGAAAGAGAGAGAGAGAGAGAGAGAGAGATCTTAAGCTACCCTGGGAAAATCCAACCTCTTTGAGCCTCAGTTTCCTCACCTCAGAACGGGGCTAAGAGCGCTCACCAAACTGCTGTGAGTACTCAGTACCCCGTCAGGCACTTTGTCGTTGGGACTCAATCCTTTCATCACTTCCAAGCACTCTGTGGGTGGTGGAACCTGGCTGTTCGTGCTCTCAGAAAATCCGATAGTAAATGATTTCCATATGCCACTGCGGAGACGGGGTACACTGAAGCCTGAGGACACCCCCGCAGGGAGTTCTGATGTCCCAGCCCAGTGGGTGACCATTCTTCAGAGCTGTGGGTGCCGGGCCCACCCAGACTCGGAAACTGAGGTCACCATATGTAAGAGAGTTGGACACATTTTGGCAAGTACCTCAGAGCACCTACTTTGAGAACCACTGCCCTGTGGGAACCTCGGTGTGGTGGGTGGTGTAGGTCTGGCCGGTTAATCCCCGTCCAGTCTCTGGCCGGTGGGTGGGGGCCCAGTAGGGCACCTGGCAACACTGTCTGTCTGCTTACAGGGAACATCGAGTACAGCTGCCCGGCCACCAACGAGTGTGAGATCACCAAGCGGAGGCGGAAGTCCTGCCAGGCCTGCCGCTTCATGAAATGCCTCAAAGTGGGGATGCTGAAGGAAGGTAAGAGGCCCGCCCGTGAGGCTCACCCAGGCCAGGGCCTGGCCCTTCTCACTCAGCGTCTCAGGATACCCGCAAGCTGGGGATGGCCCCAGGCCAGCGCATGTGCACACGGTTCTGGGGTCCCCAGACCCTAGAAGTCCCTCTGTGCATCCCCAGTTAAGACCTGCCCCCTGGAGTGCCCATCCTCCCTCTCACACACCTGTAAGCAAGCTCACAGCCTCCAGCCCCGCCTCACTCTCCACTCCTAAAGGAGACGAGGAAGGGGGCAGGGGCCGACCTGGCTCAATGGTTGAGCATCAACCTATGAGCTAGGAGGTCGCGGTTTGATTCCCGATTGGGGCACACGTCTGGGTTATGGGCTCAGTCCCCAGTGGGGCGGAAGAGGGGGGGCGCTGTCTGCGGGAGGCAGCCAATCAATGGTTTTCTCTCATCATTGATGTTTCTCTCTCTCCCTCTCTCTTCTGCTCTGAGATGGACCTGGGGAACTAGCTTGGCCACTCTGCAGAAGGCTCCTGGGAGAGGCAGGCTTGTGATGCCGTTTCAGCTCCCAGGAGCCCATGGAGTGTGGGGGTGCAGAGATCACAGCATTAAGGCTCGGGGTGACTTTAAGGCTCACGTCACCTGCGAAGGGACAGCCTCTACTTCCCCGCAGGCGGACAGGACGTTGCTGTCACCTCGAGGATCCTTTCTCCTTCCCGTCCCCTCCTCCCCGTCCTCTCACTTCACCCCCCTTTCCCTTCCCTTCGCCCCTCTTTCTCTGGAGCTGTGCCGTCCAACATGCTCCGTGAGCCGTGGGTTCTGAGTGTAAAGTACACGCCTGATTTCAAAGGTTACGAGGGTGAGAAGAGGAGGGTAAAATAGCGTAGTAATAGCACTGTTTGGGACCTGTTGGCTGTGCTGTGGCTAACGGGTTCCATTCCAGTGCTACAGCAGCCCCACTGCCACTACACTGACAGCCTGATGGTGGCTCTCAGTGTCAGGTCTTGGACACAAGCAAAAAGAAAAAAGAAAAAAAAAAGCGTAGTAATAATGTTTAAATCACGAGCGCATGTTGGGGTGATAAATTCTGCGTACGCTGGGTTAAACAAGCATATTAGGACGCGAATGTCACCTTCTTCTTGTTGCCTGCTTCAGGGGAGCTGCTAGGACTTGTAAGGGGACACGTGGTTCTCGTTATTTGGACAGACAACGCTGGTCCAGGTCTCATCACCTTCCCTGTCGATCGGCTCAGATTGACGACTCTTGTGGGTACCACTGTTGGGGAATGGGCAGCGTGTGTGTGTTTCTCTCCTTCCCTGGCTTTCAAGGGGAGCCAGTGAAAACCCTTACAGGCCAGCTTTTATGATTTTGGGCCCTGGGATCCTTCCAGAAGCGGGAGGGGCAGGAAGAGAGGTGTGGGCTGATGAAAGGGGAAGGGGAGGGGATGGGAGGGAGAAGGGAGGGCAGGACTGGAATGCACTCCCTCCCCAGGAGGGTCTCTGGAACCAGCCCAGCCTTTAAGAGCCCCAGGGGCACCCCTCCCATGCTGCCCTCCCTGCACCCTCAGGGGAAGAGGACCCTGAATGGAAGATGCTTTGCCGGTAGGTGGCTTGGATCAGTAGGTGGCTTGGATCGGCAGAGAGGACGGGAATAAGAGGCCCCTCCCTGTTTTCCATCCCGGTGCCCCCTCCACACCTCAGCTCAGCCTGGGCCTTCACCTGTAAGACACAAGCTCTTGAAACAGTTCCTCCACTAGCCCTGTGTCTAGTAGCACGAGGCCTTTTAACTGCCGTCCTCTTTACTCGCTTCTTTTAACCCCTCTGAGATGGAGAAGGCCAGCCAGGACATCACTGGGGGATCAAGTGGAGAAACAGCCCTCTTTCTAGATTAAAAATGCGCTGTATTGGACCAATCCCCCCGCCCCCGGAAATAGCCCTGTGGTTGGTCCAGGATGTAGGTATGTAGGACTCGGAACAGGGCACAGAGGTGGCAGCCCGGGGCATTGGAGGCTGTTGGCAGGAGCAGGCAGGTATGCAGAGGTCAACCGCCTGGGGTCCAGCCCCAAGAGGCCCTTCCAGGAGCTCTGCCTGGAGGAGGAAGGGCCGCCACCAGAACACTGCCCTCCCCACCGCTTCCCCAGCGCTGGCAGTTCTAAGCCCAACGGGGAAAGATGCCACAAAGGCTCCCTGTGTGGACAAAGCCAAGTGCCTCCATTTCCTTTCTGTCCCGCTCTCAGTGCAGAGCCTTGGCAAGACCCTGGGATCTGCAGCTCCGCGGGGACCGGCCCCTCCGGAGTGTGCGCCGCGCTGGGGAGCCGGCGTCCTTGCCAGGCAGGGGCTCTTGGCAGCTGCCCTGCTCCCGCTTTTGTTTGGGTGTCCCCACCTCGCCTCCTGTGCAGGAGCCCAGACCCCCGGGACCAGCACCGGCCCCCTGCCTCCTCCTGTTTCCCCCTGGCCCTGACCTGAATCTGAAAGGCAAGCGCCGGCCTTCCCCGGGGCTGCTCCCTCTCTAAGACCCCACAGTGGGCCTCAGGCGTGGGGGGTGGTGTGGGGCTGGGGTCCTGGGTCTTGGGGGAGAGGGGCTGGGGAAGAGGAGGTGTGGGTGCCAGCCTCCCCTTCCCCCCCATCTCGCCTACACATCTGAACCCTGTTCCCCTCCTCTACGCTGCAGCTCGGATGCCTTTTACAGGGTTCCCTTTCTTTTTTAATTTTAAAATATATTTTTATTGATTTCAGAGAGGACGGGAAGAGAGAGATGGAAACATCAATGATAGAGAAGCATTGATTGGCTGCCTCCTGCACGCCCCCTACTGGGGATCGAGCCTGCAATCCAGGCATGTGCCCTGACCAGGAATCGAACTGTGGCCTCCGGGCTTATAGGTCAACACTCCACCACTGAGCATGGCCCGTTCTTTTTTAAAACCCTCACCCGGGGACATGCTGAGAGAGAGAGAGAGAGAGGCACTGATGTGAGAAACATTGACCAGCTGTCTGCCCCACATGTGCCCCCACCAGGAATGGAACCTGCATGTGCCCTGACTGGGGCTCTAATCGAACCAGCAACCCTTTGGTGCACAGGACAACGCTCAACCCATTGAGCCACTCTGGCTGGGCAGCAGGTTCCCTTTCTTTTTTTAAAAAAATATTTTATTGAGTTTTTACAGAGAGGAAAGGAGAGAGACAGAGAGTTAGAAACATCAATGAGAGAGAAACATCGACCAGCTGCCTCCTGCACACTCCCCACTGGGGATGTGCCTGCAACCAAGGTACATGCCCTTGACCGGAATCGAACCTGGGACCCTTCAGTCCGCAGGCCGACGCTCTATCCACTGAGCCAAACTGGTTTCGGCAGGTTCCCTTTCTTAAGTAGCATAACCCGAGAGGCTGCCGATGATCGGGGTGTCCAGTAGCTGCTGGGAGAGGTCAGGCATGGCTTCCGTTGGCTCAGCCTCTACCTGGAGGCTGCTGTTGGCCCTGGAATCCATGACAGTGGAATGTGGGTGATGTCCAGGGTTCTGTCTTGCTTTAAGCAAACCCAGGATATAAACATCTGTATTTTTGTGGGGGGGGGAGGGGACGGGAGGGGTTATTCTCTTTATAAAGAATTGAATACAGACTCTCACCGGGTTAGGAGTTGGTGCTGTGTCCTCCTCCTGGCTCTGGGGTATTCTTGCTCTTCGTATTATTCTCATGCTCCCGGGCCTCCATTTCTTCACCTGTAGAGCAGCGATGTTGAAACCGGCTCTCCAACCCTAACCAGTTTGGCTCAGTGGCTAGAGCATTGTCCTGCGGACCAAAGGGTCCCAGGTTTGAGTCTGGTCAAGGGGACCAAAGGGTCCCGGGTTTGAGTCTGGTCAAGGGCACCTACCTTGGTTGCAGGCTCCTCCCCAGCCTAGGTCCTGGTCGGGGCTCATGCAGGAGGCAACCAATCGATATGTTTCTCTCACATCGATATTTCTCTCTGTCTTTCCCTCTCTCTCTGTCTTTCTCCTCTCCCTAAAAATCAATGGAAAAATATCCTCAGGGGAGAATTAAAAGAAAAAGAATCTGGCTCTCCATCGGCAAGTCAAGGTGGGGACCACGTGGACAACTCCTTGGTGAAATGCACTGTGGGGTTGCTTTAAGATGTCAGCTTCCTGGGCGTGTTGTAATAGTATTTGACTCAAAGATAGTTTCGTTTGCACTCAACGTTTCAGCGGCCCTCCCATTGCGTGGCTTGGCTGGGGGACTCTGAGAGGAGGCACCTGTCTTGGGTTGGCCTCCTGTCTGGGGTCTAAAATCAGGGCGAGGGGTTCCCCTGGGAAGCCAGTGAGGCTCTCCCCCACAGGCAGGCTTCGCAGCCTGGCCAGGGTGTGGCCTGACAGCCTCCAAGCCAGTAGAACTTGGAAAGATATTAGCAGCATTTCACAGGCCCCCCCAAGTCCTTAGTACCGCTCTGGGCTTTCGGCAACCCTCCCTAGACAGCTTGTCTCTGCAAACTTCTCCTCACCTCCCTTCTCCCTCCAGCCACCAGCCTCCCGGTCCCACTCCATTTCCTCCTCCCATCAGCCCCTGCCTGCCTTTCCCCAAGTGTTTTCTAAAAGATATTTGATTTCAGTGAAAGCTGGGCTGACATCGATGCAATGTGCTCTCACCCTTTGTGCTTGTTGGAAGGCGGAGGGCTCCTCCGGGGATTCTGGGTAATTGGGTTAGTGGCCAGCTCATGTCAGGAAATTAAAAGGAGGCCCCGATCAGGTTCCTGCTGCATGGGATTTAATGGCTTTGTATTTATAGAGTATTCTGCCTCTAGCCCATGCCAGAAATACCACCTTTCTGGCCCTTTGAATGAAGAAAGAAGATGAGAGATGGCTTACCTTTAAAAATTCTGTTTCTTTTCCAAAATACATTCGTGTTCTGAAACAAACTGCCTCTCCTGCATTTCAGAGAATAGCTTTGAACTGGAGCTGAGAACTCGGATATATGTTTGTATCCCCCGACCACTTTCCATCCTATGTGCGCACACACAGACACACACACACATGC